AATGTTATTCTGTAAATTATGTTGGTGTATAATGTTTTTATATCTTGTTCCGTCTGCTCCTGTTAAAATTTGAGCACCTGCCCCTCTAAAAGGTCTATGCGTATTACAGTCATGTATTGCTCACATGTAGCCCCAGTGTTTTTGCTGACTTGTGTACAGTCACTGTGTCTCACTGATGCTCTGCATCACTGGACTGACATGAGGAAATGTCTTTCTTCACTTCACATGATTTTATTTGTGTTATTATCACTTTATCATTAAATAAATGACATAAAGAGTTGTAAAATATATTTTCACAGAGCCAACAGTGGGCTGGGTGCACACACACTGAATATACACATGTGCAGTAGATAATAACGCTAATGGTAGAAGAGGTGATAAATTTCTACTTTTTGTTTTATATCATATTTCATCACATTTACAGCAACATCTTTACTAAAATAACATTATTCTGTAGAAACCAGACGGACGCAAAACAAATGAATACCACAGTGTGTACACAGTATTACACAGTTGAAGGTGATGAAATGCTGTGGCAGTATTACTACAATGATCCCTAACTGACATATGAAATTGTTCTCATGTATGAAATTCGATTCATTATTCCATGAAAATATAGAAAGATATTTTTCTGCTGTTTGACATTTCATCCTGAACTTAAAGATTGTAGCAGACATCAATTTACATTAGAGTCAGTGTTTTCTAGGAGCCCCATGATGCATCTGTGCTGTGTGATCAGGTCTCTTCTCACAGTTCAGCAGAACACACATGTGTGAGCTAGGACTAAAAAAAACTAATTGTGAAACCTGAAAATACCACAAGTTTCCTAAACGTTCAAGGTGGTGGAAAAAATTGACAGCTAAGTCGCCCTTTGTTTATTACATGCAAAGGGAAACATGTTGTACATAACATATTGTAATTCTGACACATAACATGTTGGAGGTCCCTGCAAGACAATGAATAAATATGTTCAAGAACCAATGTCTTTATCTTGTGCTTTTCAGTCATTAAAATACACATGAATGAAGAAAATATGAGAATATATAAAAAGTGAGATGACATTTGACAAGTTGTCAATTAAAAATATTTATAATTCAAAAATGCGTTTGTGCTAAAAACACCCTGCGCTGTATATGTGTGAGCAGAGATACTTCTGGTGTCATGTGAACTAGTGCCCTATTCACAGCTGCATGATAAAAACTGTTTAAGGTCAGACAGACGAACATGTCAATAGCTGACATAAAAAAAAGGAAGTGACAATTACATTTTCATGAGTCGACCCCAGTGACTTTTACTACATTTGATAATGTAAAAAGATATTCTATAAATAAAAATAAATACACATTTAACATGAATCCTCTTCAGATGTGACCTTTGTCTTTACACAGAACGAACTGCTCATTTCTTCTTCATTTGAGCGTAGAGATCCTCGAGGCCGTCAGCTGTCTCTGTGGACCTGTCTGCTTTCTTGGACACTTTGACCTGTGCGTACACAAAAAATAAAAGTAGTCAAGTTAAATGTAACTTTAACAAAAACAAAGGTGAAGTATATGTAAACAGAAAGGGAACAATGAAGGTGTTCAGTCAGTGTTTGTTTGGTATTTTTTGGTGTGACTCTTGAACATATTGTTTGTTCTGATTCTTGTGTGTGTTATCTCACAGTCAGTGTTACTGGTTTCCCTCTCAGACTGACTGAAGTCCAGGCGATGAGTGATGTGGAGGAAGAGGAGGACGGAGCAGAGTCTCCAGGACCCAGCTGTCTGTCTGTGAAGATTGACCAGTCCAAAGGGAAACTACAACTCTTCAGTAATGAACCTGGACCCTCACACATACAGTAAGAGAAATGCTACAAACCTTTGCACCTCTAAACTGTCATTTTTCATTTCCACTGCCACTTTCCACAAGTTTTTTCTTTTACTACTGTTAAATATGTTTTTTTTGTTTGTTTTTTTTGTGTTTTCCCTCTCTCTCTCTCTCTCTCTCTCTCTCTCTCTCTCTCTCTCTCTCTCTCATGACTCGTGATTTCCTGTAAATGCAGAGGGGAGGAGCATCTACCAAAACTGAAAGTGTTCAGTCAGTGAGTTCAGACTCCATTTTAACTGAACAGAACAGAAGAAGGGAAACTGAAGCCTGAGGCAGGTGAGTGTTAAAACAACATTATTAATATTTTCCTGTCAAAGTCTCTGAGTCAGTTTGTCCCTGTTGACTGTGGAGGGAAGAAGAATCTCAATGAACTTCTGTCCACAAAGAGACTGAAAGACACTGACTTTTCTCTCAGTCAGAATCAACAGTTTAACACAACGTTGTGATTGACTGAATAATACACAGCTCTCCAGGTGGAGTGCTGCCTGGTTTTATTATACTGTACAGTGTGTGTGTGTGTGTGTGTGTGTGTGTGTGTGTGTGTGTGTGTGTGTGTGTGTGTGTGTGTGTGTGTGTGTGTGTGTATGTGTGTGTGTGTGTGTGTGCGCGTGCTTGCGTGCGTGTATGTGTGTGTGTGCGCGCGCGCAGACATTTCTTTGTGTGTTAGGCTCCTGTTCTCTCTTGCTTGTGATTCTTGTGTGTGTGATCTCACAGTCAGTGTTACTGGTTTCCCTCTCAGACTGACTGAAGTCCAGAAGATGAGTGCTGTGGAGGAAGACGAGGACAGAGCAGAGTCTCCACGACCCAGCTGTCTGTCTGTGAAGAGTGACCTGTCCAAAGGAAATCCTCCACTCTTCAGTAATGAACCTGGACCCTCAGACACACAGTAAGTGAACTGTTAGAAACCGCTGAACTTTCAGAAAATAAGTTCCTCCTGGTTCTTCTTATCAGTGTATTAATACTAACTGCTGAGGTTCATTGTTTCTTGCATGTCACTTCTTTGTTGTAAATCACTTTGTGCGACATTTCTTGTATGAAAGGTGCTATACAAATAAAGTTTATTATTATTTATTATTATTCAGTACAGTGTGTGGTGCTAGACATTATGATTATTTTACTGTCAGAGTCTCTAAGTCAGTTTCCTCCCTGTGGACTGTGGAGGGAAGATAATGCAAACAGAGCAGGTAGCTGTGTCATACACGAGGATCCTCTTCGTCTTGGGTGTGACTCCTGAACATATTGTTTGTTCTGATTCTTGTGTGTCTGAGCTCACAGTCAGTGTTACTGGTTTCCCTCTCAGACTGACTGAAGTCCAGGAGATGAGTGATGTGGAGGAAGAGGAGGACAGAGCAGAGTCTCCACGACCCAGCTGTCTGTCTATGAAGAGTGACCTGTCCAAAGGAAATCCTCCACTCTTCAGTGATGAACCTGGACCCTCGGACGCAAAGTAAGGGTCTCTACTCTGTCTACACTGTCTCTACTGTAAACTGACTTGAAGATGTTTCATTGTTGAAATGTATTTCAACATTAGCAGTAGCAGTTACTCAAGGTGGATCTAAGGATTTGTTGCCACTTTTTTCTAAAGTCACAGTCACGTTGTGTTTGTCTTCATCTACTAAAAACTCCTCTGCAGTTTTGTGCAAGTAACTCTCAAGAAAAGCCGTTCTGCTTCACATGAACTGTCTCCTTTTCAAGGCACAAAAACTGGGAAGAGGGAATTGAAGTATATAAATATGGCACGCTGATTTATCACTGCAAATAATGCAAATATCACATATTATACAGCTGCATTGAACTTGTGAGTTGTGGTTTCGCCACCGCTGATGTCATGTATTATAACAAATGTGTTCATGTTCCAGAACAAGACCTGGACTGCAGACAGCCAGTCAGACCAGCACTGAACAAAGTGAGACTGAACATCTGTATGATGATGTCATCATTTCTGAAACCAGGACCTGTTGTTTTATACGGAGTCATTTGTTACATCACACAGCATCGACCTTTAAGATGATTATAAATACCACAACATTAAAACCTTTTCTCTGTTTGTCTTTAGTTTTTCTGCATCTGATGAAAATAATCATCAGATTCTCAGATTGTCTTTCTTCAGTCTGACGTTGTCTCTTCTCTTTCAGCAGATAATGGTCTGCAGGAGGTTTTACATCAACATAAGATCAGTCTGAGGAGCAGATGTGAACATGTGACTGAAGGAACTGATGGAACAGGAAGTGGAACCCTCCTCAACAGGATCTACACTGAGCTCCACATCACAGAGGGACAGAGTGAAGAGGTTAATACCCAACATGAGGTGAGGCAGCTGGAGACAACTTCCAAGATGGAGACCCTCCATGACGCTCCAATCAGGTGCCACGACATCTTTAAAGTCTCACCTGACCAGCAGAGACGCCGCATCTTTAAAGTCTTACCTGACCAGCAGAGACCCATCAGAGTGGTTCTGACCAACGGCGTTGCTGGCGTTGGAAAAACCTTCTCAGTGCAGAAGTTCTCTCTGGACTGGGCAGAGGGCTTGGAGAACCAAGATGTCAGTCTGCTGGTTCTGCTTTCGTTCAGGGAGCTGAACCTGATCAGAGATCAGCAGTACAGTCTTCTCAGGCTGCTCCATGTTTTCCATCCAACATTACAGAAGGTCACAGCAGAGCAGCTCGCTGTCTGTAAAGTTCTGTTCATCTTTGACGGCCTGGATGAAAGCAGACTGTCACTGGATTTCAACAACAGGGAGGTTGTGTCTGATGTCACACAGGAGTCATCAGTCAACGTGCTGCTGACAAACCTCATCAGGGGGAATCTGCTTCCCTCGGCTCTCGTCTGGATAACTTCCAGACCTGCGGCGGCCAATCAGATCCCTCCTACATGTGTGGACAGGGTAACAGAAGTACGAGGCTTCACTGACGCCCAGAAGGAGGAGTACTTCAGGAGGAGATCCAGTGATGAAGAGCTGTCCAGCAGAATCATCTCACACATCAAGACGTCCAGGAGCCTCCACATCATGTGTCAAGTCCCAGTCTTCTGCTGGATCACTGCTACAGTTCTGGAGCACATGTTGACCACAGACCAGAGAGGAGAGCTGCCCCAGACCCTGACTGACCTGTTCTCACACTTCCTGCTGGTTCAGACACAGAGGAAGAAGAACAAGTACCATGAGGGACGTGAGACGAGTCCACAGGAGCTGACGGAGGCTGACGGGGAAGTTCTTCTGAAGCTGGGGAGGCTGGCGTTTGAACAGCTGGAGAAAGGAAACATCATGTTCTACCAAGAAGACCTGGAGCAGTGTGGTCTTGATGTCACAGAGGCCTCGGTGTACTCAGGACTTTGTACTGAGATCTTCAGAAGAGAGAGTGTGATCTTCCAGAAAACAGTCTACTGCTTTGTTCATCTGAGCGTTCAGGAGTTTCTGGCTGCAGTCTACATGTTCCACTGTTACACTAACAGGAAGAGAAAGGTCCTGAAGGGCTTCTTGGAGAAACAACATGTTGATTCAACTCCAGATGAGTTCCTGAGGGCAGCCATGGAGAAATCCCTTGAAAGTAGAAACGGTCACCTGGACCTGTTTGTTCGCTTCCTTCATGGCCTTTTTCTGGAGTCCAACCAGAGACTCTTAGGAGGTCTGCTGGGTCAGAGAAAGAACAGTCCAGAAACCATCCAGAGAGCCATCAACAACCTGAAGGAGATGAATACTTACAAAACCTCTCCTGACAGAAGCATCAACATCTTCCACTGTCTGATGGAGATGAAGGATCACTCAGTTCATCAGGAGATCCAAGAGTTCCTGAAGTCAGAGAACAGATCAGAGAAGGAACTCTCTCTGATCCACTGCTCAGCTCTGGCCTACATGCTGCAGATGTCAGAGGAGGTTCTGGATGAGTTGGACCTGGAGAAGTTCAACACATCAGTGGAGGGACGACTGAGACTGATCCCAGCTGTGAGGAACTGCAGGAAGGCTGTGTAAGTCCAGACATGATGACGAACGTTATCAATCAGAGTCGATTAGTCATTTAGTTCTTTGAATTAAAATAATTGAATTATTCTTAGTTTTACAATAAACAGTTAAAAAACAGTTTTAAATGAACCAAAATGTTCAGTTGGTTGTGATTATTGCTGTTAAGTTGATGAAAAGGCCACATTATCATTGTTCATTCTTACAGTGTAATGATGGATGTAGCTGTTTTGTCCTTCTCTGTTATATATAGATATTATATAAACAACTTTGAGTCATTAATCATTATGGTGAAGAAATCTAAATTTTCTGTATGGATGTGAACAGTAGCACCTGACAATAGGAGGTAACAAAGAGAGATGATATTAAATCGTTTACTGAGTTGAATTCCTTAGAAATAATAATCATACACAGTAAAAACAAGATGGCTTCATTCTGACTCTAGAGATCAAATCACACAGAATGTGGACATTAAAGAAGCCTCAGTGTAACACCAGTTTCCCTCCCTGCTGCAGGTTTGAGAGAGAGTGATGAGAATTATTGTCTCATGTCAAAGACAATAAGATGAGCTGAACCATGGATGTGATTAGCAGATGTTAATCAAGTTATGACATGTTTTGTCATCACAATGCATTGTGTTTCTTTCCTTTAATAATTGTCTGGTTTTATTGTAACAGATTTTACAAATTCTGTTTTATATTTTCTCTCATCACAGACTTACTAACTGTGGACTCTCAGAGATTCACTGTGAAATTCTGGCCTCGGCTCTGAGGTCCAACCCCTCCCACCTGAGAGAGCTGAACCTGAGTGGAAACTACAACCTGCAGGATTCAGGAGTGACGGTCCTGTCTGCTGGATTGGAGAGTCCAAACTGTGGACTGGAGACTCTGAGGTCCGTTCACTGACTGGAGCTGTTGTAGTTGTTTTGTATATATTGAGTTTAAATCTTAGAAGTTTTATTTTTTCATTGGTCCATACATTTTAAAAGTTGATGAAGAGAAAAAACTCTCTGTAATTAGTAAAAACGAAAGGTGAGACCATATATATTCAGGGCTGATAGCGCTCCGGCGCCACGCCGGAGCGCTATCACTTAAGCCAATCGGTAATAGGGGAGGGGGTGGTCTTGGGTTTTGGCCAATCAGATTGATTCAGCAGTCACCCCACGTGCGAATGTGTTTTGTGTTTCCCATGTCATGGAGTGCAACTTTATGAAGCCAGGGGAAGACATCAAACTTGTCGATAAAGGTATAAAGAATAAATGGCGTTGGTCTTGGATAGAGGAGGTGGGTAGAGACGGAAAGCCCTTTGGAAGCTGGTGTCAAAAACTCCGGCAACCAGGAGCATGTTTCTGCACTTTGTGTGCAAGGAAAATATTATATGGAACTAGCGGGAAAAGGTGCTGCCACAGCACGAGTTCAACGCTAGTCATCAAGCAGCTTTATGAGCAATTCAACAACCACAGAAGATATCCGACCCTCAATGACCGATCGCGTGGCTGATTTAAAAATTCGCTTGTGCTCCTTCATTGCTGAGTATGATCTATCGTTTACAATCCACTCCTCACTTTGTGTCAGAAATCAGCGGAGGATAAACTCGCCCTTAGGCATCTGTCTGTCTCGAGGCACCATGTGTAGCGTGGTGCAGAGTGAAGCTGCCCTCCACTACACATTTAATTGGAAAGTCTTTTATTTTGTTCTGCAAAGAGCAAACATATGTACTTTAGCATCACCGTTCACCACACACACAGTAACTTTACACTCAGGTGTGTGTTATCGTTCTATGAACGTGTTCACGCGAGACTTCCCTTGTCCCTGAACACACAGTGTAGCGAACGCGCTAGTGCTGCTGGTGGTCGGAGTTAGACACTGCATACTGCTAGATAACACTACATTTTTCAAACAATAAACCAACCTTTCCTTATCATAAAACACACAGACAATTTCCATCACACTCTGAACATGAGCTGTACTAAATGGAAATTATGTTAAACATGTAAATAATAATAATCATGTAGATATATCAACCCACTGATGGCTCTGTATGCCACACATGCAAGCTATCTTATTACACACGGCATCTCACCAGAATTTAAAAGAAATCCGTGACAAGCTTGAGAATAACATGTTTTCAACATTGATGAGGCCACGGACAAAAGCATGGATAAAATTCTAAATGTACTTGTCCAATTTTATGAGGAGGATGCAGGCAGTGTGAAAAGTGTGGTTAGTGAGGTCCCCACTCCATTGTAAAAGCACTTTGGGTATCTTGAAAAGCGCTATGTAAATCCAATGTTCATTCATTCAATTCCTAGTTTACTTTGAGTATTATAATTATCACCCACTGACCTTTCTTGGTATGGTTTTAGTATCCGTAGTCTCAGTATGCTATATAAGCAATAAGTACGCAGGTAAGTGACTAGTTAAAAGCAGGGATGGATTACTGAACAGGCCTACCAGGCCCAGGGTCCCAAGAGCTCTGGTGCTCTACACAAAGATGCTACTGTAACATAGGTTTGTATTGGGTTTGTTCATCTCATGTCTGAATAATGTACATTTGTATCCACAAAAGTCATCAGAATATTTAATTCAATGGACTATTTATCGAAATGTCCCTGGATCCCGCTTGACAATTGCGTTGATCGGGGCATATATCTTACCTCCCAGGGAAAAAAGTTCAGGCTCAGGATTTTTTTACTATCACCCCTGAATATTACCTGTATATACAGTATATTGTCCATATTTTATGAATCTGTGTTGATATGAATGAGTAAATGAATGTTGTAGTGACATTTGGATGATGTGTGTAGAAGGCTGACATGATGATCCACAACAACAGAAGGACAAAGTCAATCAAAGGTTAATTGATTAGGACATATCTGATAGATTATCAATGATTTTATGTGCATGTTTTATTCTTTATTCAGGTTGATGGACTGCAGTTTGTCAGAGATCAGCTGTTCTTCTCTGGCCTCAGCTCTGAAGTCCAACCCCTCCCACCTGAGAGAACTGGTGCTGAGCTACAACAAGCTGAAGGATTCAGGAGTGAAGGATCTGTGTGGTTTTCTGGAGAGTCCAGACTGTCGACTGGAGACTCTGAGGTCAGACTCCATGTTTTATTTCTGTGCAGAGATGAATATGATGTAAAAGTTGTGTTGACTCTAACCTGCAGACATATGGCTGATATTATACTGATCTACACTGAGCAGTGGTTTAGTCCAGTGACTGTTTTTCTCTTAAAATTTCCCCTCATTAATTAAGAAAAAAACAAAAATAAAAACACTGACAGTAACAAATATACACCGATCAGCCATAACATTATGACCACCTGTCTAATGTTGTGTTTTGCCGCCAAAACAGCTCTGACCCATCGATGCATCAACTCCACAGACCTCTGAAGGTGTACGGTGGTATCTGGCACCAAGACATTAGCAGCAGATCCTTTAAGTCCTGTAGGTTATGAAGTGGGCCCTCCATAGATCTGACTTGTTTGTCCCACACATCCCGCAGATGCTCGATTGGATTGAGATCTGGGGAATTTGGAAGTCAACACCTTGAACTTGTTTTTGTGTTCCTCAAACCCTGAAGCATTGTTGTGTGACGGTGCAATATCCTGCTGAACAAGGCTACTGCCTAGTCCTGTGTTTAACCTGCATCCTGTTGGTTAAGGTGTCTGAGTTTCCATTTTCTAAATTTGTACTTTCTAAACCGTCTTCCGCTCTGAACAGATGATGAAACGCTCGACGCTTTCAAGCAGCTACTTTGTCTCCTAAAGTCACATCTTTTATTCTTTATTCAGGTTGAGTGGCTGCAGGTTGACAGAGATCAGCTGTTCTTCTCTGGCCTCAGCTCTCAACCCCTCCCACCTGAGAGAACTGCAGCTGAGTTTCAACAAGCTGCAGGATCCAGGAGTGAAGGATCTGTGTGGTTTTCTGGAGAGTCCAGACTGTCGACTAGAGATTCTGAGGTCAGACACTATTTTTGGCTGGGTCAGCCCTATAAACACAAATGTCCGTGATTAACTGACTGACTGACTGACTGACTGATTAAGTTACACCATTGGTCATCCGGCTGAGTGTTGGAGCTTCCCCATTGGCCGTTGCTGTTTCAAAATGAATTGGTGCAACAGTTTCGATAAGGGGACGTTCAAAGCTGCAGTGTTGCCAACTTTGCGCATTTGTCACTAGATTTTCAGGCTTTATTTTTTCTTTCAGACACAGCCACAAATAAACTGCAAACTACAACAGACAACTTTTTGGACAAACCTTGGCTACTTTCCATAGAACAGTCGCCTTAATGCCCTGATTCGCATCTCTGCTCAGTGAGTGTCAGAGAGGCAGAGCAGTGTGTGAGACAAAATGAGAAAGATAATCTGTCGTCTATAACTTTACAAGTAACTTTAAATTTCTCCTTGAAGTTTTTCAAATTGAAATATTTTTCCATGTTGACAGACAATTACAAATGATTCAGTATCTGCTGGTTCCAACATGAAAGTCATACTGAACAGTTTCAAGCAGGAACTTTGTCTCTAAACATCTTTTATTCTTTATTCAGGTTGAGTTACTGCAGTTTGTCAGAGATCAGCTGTTCTTCTCTGGCCTCAGCTCTGAAGTCCAACCCCTCCCACCTGAGAGACCTGCACCTGAGAGGAAACGACCTGCAGGATTCAGGAGTGAAGCAGCTGTGTGGTTTTCTGGAGAGTCCAGACTGTGGACTGGAGATTCTGAGGTCAGTTCATACATAAGTTGAATCCTTTCATTTTGAATGAATCAATTACATTTGAAATTTTCATTGTTTCATATAATCATTTCCCATCTTATCAACAGTCTGAGAATTATTATTCAGTTTCATTTCAGTCAGTTGTCATAAGTAATGTCTCTTCACTTCAATTGAACCTTCAGAACTCTCACACTCATATTTCTCTCAGTCAGAGGACTAATGTTTTCTAAATACACTGAAAATGTCCAGTGTAAGTTAAAAAGTAAAAAAAAGTTAAAAAAAAATTAACGCAATGACATTTAATTTAGAGTTGAATTTACCTGTCAAATGTGTTGAAGAGGAAAAGGTTTAAAAAAACCACACTTTTGGTTTTCCATGTTTCAGTTCATTAACTGTAAATCTTCTTGTATTGTAAAGTGTCCTTGTGTGTTTAGACAGGAACCAACGAATATAAGTATTATTATTATTGTTATTGTTACAGTAATTAATAAAAGAGAAAAGTATTGTAATAAGTTTAGTTTAACATGTTTGATTTGATATTGATTGTATATTTATAGACTTGACTGAGGTCAGCAGGTCAGCATGAATGTGTGTTGACATGAACAGGTGAATGAATGTTGTGGTGACATTTGGATGATGTGTGTAGAAGGCTGACATGATGATGATCCACAATAACAGAAGGACAAAGTCACTCTACTCATTTTAGAGAGAAGCTCATTGATTCGGACATATCCTTTTGATTATTATTGATTTTTATCTACATTATTTCTTCTTTATTCAGATTGAGTTCCTGCAGGTTGTCAGAGATCAGCTGTTCTTCTCTGGCCTCAGCTCTGAAGTCCAACCCCTCCCACCTGAGAGAACTGCACTTGAGTGAAAACAAGCTGAAGGATCCAGATGTGAAGCAGCTGTGTGATCTTAAGGAGAGTCCAGACTGTCGACTGGAGACTCTGAGGTCAGTAGAGGGTTGGAGTCAGTCCATGCTGCTTTCAGCAGTGTTGTACTAAACAGTGACAGTCTCCATGTTTATTTGTCAGGTGATATCTGACAAAGCAGCAGATCAGATGTTCATCAACACAAAGAGATTGTTTAAATGTTACTTCAGCACATCCATCAGAAAGAGCAGCAGGGACTTCAGTCCTGTTCAGTCCAGATGTGGAGCAGCTGTATAGCATAGCCCGCTTCCTCTCAGCTCATGTTAACGTGTTGGAGGGAACACACTCACACAAGTCTGTTCACTCTGCACATTTCACTCAATCCACAGTGGAAATAAACTGATGAGATTCATAAAGGTTCATTGCTGCACCAACACTTTAGTGATGGATTTACTGTATCGCTGATTGACAGCTGATGAAGTGAGTCTCTGTAAACACTGATTTATCACCTCTGTTGTCTGTCTTCTCTCAACAGCTGGGAGTGATGGAGATTAGAGCAGTGTGTGTAGAGAGGCTCTGATTGGACCATGTTACTGGGAGCTGGAGAGCAGAGGAGAGCTTCGTCCAGCAGTGACTGACAGAGGAATCAGAAGAAGTGGAGATGACTCTCAGTGCTGAAGTCTGAACTGATCTGAGAACAGCTCCACTGTCACACACAGAGTCCAGTCCACCATCATCCCTGTGTGTTCCTCTGGACCTGACAGAGCATCACCAGCGTCTCTGGACTGATGCTGCTCTGTCCTTTTTTATTCATTCAGATATTCTGAACTTAAACTGACTCTGCAAACCAGTTCTGTTTATCACAGCATCACTGTAGATTTGTACTAAGTGGTCAGCAGGCTGAACTAGTATAGAATCAGTTGTTTTTACTGTATTGTTTTATGTTGCAGCTCCAACCTGTGGACTGACAGAGTATTGAAAGTTGAAAGTATGAAAACACAGAATCCAGCCTGCATGTATCAGATTACCGATCAGACAGATCAATAATTTTTTGCATTACAGAAATAAGAAGATAAAACCTGAACAAAGCTTCACTGATCTGAATAAAACATTGATTATCTCTGGATTTTGGTGTAAAGTCAGCTCTGAGTAAACCCTTTGTCACAGAGTGAGCAGCTGCACACTTAAATTTAAATGTCTGATATAAATAAAAAGAATCACAAAGACTCTGAACATCCAGTCTCCAAACCTGAATGTCATTGTCATCAGTGTAAGATGTTAAATCTGTGAATCTGAATGGAGCCAGCGGAAGAGGTTTGTTCTAGAGAAGAAACATGACTTCAGCATGTTACACCATTGGTCATCCGGCTGAGTGTTGGAGCTTCCCCATTGGCCGTTGCTGTTTCAAAATGAATAGGTGCAACAGTTTCGATAAGGGGACGTTCAAAGCTGCAGTGTTGCCAACTTTGCGCATTTGTCACTAGATTTTCAGGCTTTATTTTTTCTTTCAGACACAGCCACAAATAAACTGCAAACTACAACAGACAACTTTTTGGACAAACCTTGGCTACTTTCCATAGAACAGTCGCCTTAATGCCCTGATTCGCATCTCTGCTCAGTGAGTGTCAGAGAGGCAGAGCAGTGTGTGAGACAAAATGAGAAAGATAATCTGTCGTCTATAACTTTACAAGTAACTTTAAATTTCTCCTTGAAGTTTTTCAAATTGAAATATTTTTCCATGTTGACAGACGATTACAAATGATTCAGTATCTGCTGGTTCCAACATGAAAGTCATACTGAACAGTTTCAAGCAGGAACTTTGTCTCTAAACATCTTTTATTTATTCAGGTTGAGTTCCTGCAGGTTGACAGAGATCAGCTGTTCTTCTCTCACCTCAGCTCTGAAGTCCAGCCTCCAGCTCAATGTTCACTCCAACACATTAACATGAGAGCTGAGAGGAAGTCCCTGCTGCATCACTGACTGTAAACACTGATTTATCACCTCTGTTGTCTTCTCAACAGCAGGGAGTGGTGAAGCATGTGTGCTGAGAGAGGATGAGCTGTGTCCTGATGATCCAGATGTTGAAGCAGCAGCAGCAGCAGCTGGTGTGTAGAGAGGCTCTGATTGGACCATGTTAGTGGGAGGTGGAGAGGAGAGGAGAGCTTCATCCAGCAGTGACTGAGAGAGGAATCAGAAGAAGTGGAGATGACTCTCAGTGCTGCAGTCTGAACTGATCTGAGAACAGCTCCACTGTCACACACAGTGCATACTGTGTTTATGACAACATTAATGTAAATTGACACAAAATTCAAAGACATTCAAAGGTGTTAGTTTCTGTCGTAATCAAAGACTGGTCACTCGTGTTTCCGGCCCTTTATTTTGACATTTCCGTTTTGGTATCCATGTGTAACGGGTTTTTTCTTCTTACTTGATAATTATCCGTTTTAGATTAGAAGAGGAGATTTAAATGTTACATAGTGAGGAAAGGTTGTCGGTCGAGCAGCAATCATGGAATAAAATTTTTTTATACTGCTTTTCGGAACAGCATTCAGTTCCGGTGTTGTGTCGAAATCTGTTTCTTCATCGATTTTTGTTTCCTCTTGAACCTAAACCAAAATATATCCCCAATCCAAACGAGTCGTGTTTTGAAGTGGTTCACCTCAACCTAGTCGCTTGCTAACTACATTTAGTTATCTCCACGACGCCTAACCGTCACCTAACAAGGTGCGACAGACAGCGGCAGTGGTGACACAATTCGACGGGGACACATTTCACCACAGCACCCACTGCTCAGTGTCTTTTGCGCATGCGTGGTAGGGATCGTAACGGAAGCTGCACGGCGTCGCACACAGCCTGGCTGTCTGACCGACACTGAATGAAAGCGCACTGATTTCGACTTCAAGATGATGAAATTTCTACCCAAACTGCTGCTGCTAGCGCTGTTAGCCTTCCCGGCGACTATCCTCATCAAAGGTAAGACTTTGTTACGGCCGCTGGCGGTGACGAAGAAAAAAAAGAAGAGTGCTTAATTAGCTATTTGGCGTTGACATGCTAGTGTTAGCAGCTAGCTAGCTAGCAGCTGTGGGGGAAAAACAGGCCGTTCCGCTTTTTGACATGTGCTAGCTGAAAGTAACTGGATATAAAATTGAGAGGCCTTTTCATAATACGTGTTAATGTTTTGAACTATTCCCTTAAAGCGTTTCATTCTGCGAATGCCTTGTTTTCGTCGTATGTGGTTTAGTGTTAGCTGCATGTATGCAGTTTGTCTACCTGCTTAGACTGACGTGTCCTTACTGTTAGCCGTTAGCCTGGAAGCTAATTTGCCTTGCTAACGTTTTAATTGTCACTCAGCAGCTTTCTGGATATATAACAAGTTAAACTCATTATTAATGTAATCTGAACACCCCAGTCACCACATACAATATCGACAGTTATCAATAAACACTTTAGCTGTAGTAAATTTGATAATGCCACTTTTATTAGGCTAGCTCACATAGCAGGTACAGACGTCTCACTGGCTGGGTTATATTGAATGTATATTATTTCAACAGACACATCTTTAATTGGAATCAAAACGCCTTTAGTATTCTGAACTTTATTATTTTCCTAATAGTTATTTGTGCAGGATGTGGCTGTGGGGCTGAAGGGGAGGGACCTACATGACTGAAAAGTTATAATGAAACCATATTTAATGAGTAAAAATGGTTTTAATATAATGTACAAGGCCTTTATAATTTATTTAATTGATGGAACTGTGCAGTAGGAGTGGACAGTGTGAATAAAATGTTTTATTATGGTATCTGTAATTGCATACTTAAATTTCATGCAAGACTGACATGTTCTGATAAAGTAGATTTGACAGGAAATCAATGGAGGATTTGTTCAGTGATAAAATATCAAGGCACCTATGTCAGTTTTTGGAGCATAGAGCTACAGTTGTCCTGTGCTACAACAAACATTTTCCAAAATTTAATTAACTTTATTTTGAATTCTACAAGCAATCCCAGTGTTTCCAAATTCACACTCAGTATCCATCTTATCAGCTACACCTGGCTTAAACTACTGCAGTGTAATACAATAAGCCCTGAAATCTGTCTCCATGGTGACAGAGAGATGTTGATTCAACTCTCTAAAACAGAAGCTGTAACTTGTGCTGCTTTATAATAGCTTTTTACCGAGAGGCATTTCTAATATTTAGTCTTCCCTCATCAGTATCAAAATATTAAACACTTTGCAACTTTCATGAAGGTTGTAGGATTTATAGCAGGACTGTTGTATTGGAGTGCATTCATTTTAAACACATTGACTTAATAAACTGGCGTCTGAGACCAATGGTAAATTGAATTTTGTCAAAATATGTCAAACAAAACCCGTGTAAAATTTCTAATTGATGTAACTTATGATAAAACCTCTCATATATAAAACCATGAAGGAGGATTTGAGTGACTCTAAAAGCTACGATGAGTGATCTTCTCATTCAGAAGTTCTTTTTACATAATACTAACATTTGAAATTTTAAGTCAAATTCTCCTTTGACTCCTTAGTCCTACCCCCCAACATATTTTTCGTGTGGAAACACATTGAACCACAGAAGAACATTACAGCTTTGCTGTTAGTTTTGTGACCTGTTTACTGCCTTGCAGTACCTGCTCTGCAGGTGTGTTTGGATGAGCAGAAGTTTGTTGCTGCTGGAATTCAATATTGTAAAAATATTAAAGAGCTCTCCAAAAAAACTCAAGACCCCTCTCTCCCCACCCACCAGGGCCGGTGGTGAGTGCCCAGGATCTGACAGAGGATGAGGAGGCTGAGGCCGTGGATGAAGACGTTGTGGATGATGTGACAGCTGAGGATGAAGACGACGAGGCGGAAGTGGAAGATGATGAGAATGCAGAATTGGTGAGCGACTAAGCGATTACACCAGGGACAAAATATCCTCAAATAATCAATAAATGTTCTCTTTCAACACATTATTGGTCCCCTATTACACTGACAGAGTTTTGTAGTTTGGTTAAACATATTTTAGTTTTTTGTTTTTGCTGTTTTTAAAAACACTGAGGGTCCAACTGTCCATCACAATTCTCCCAAAAGCTCAAGTTCAGTAACTTAAGTGTCTAGTTTTGTGTGACCAACAGAATCCAAATATATTCAATACACTGTGACAGAAGACAAAGAAAACCAGAGAATATTCACATTTACAAAACTAGAACCTGTGAAATTTCTGCTTCAAAATGACTTAAATGATTAATCCATTATCTAAAGTAATTTTCTGTCGATCAGCTAATTGGTTAACCAACTGATTGTTCCAGTTGTGTTCAATGATACAGCACATGATGGAACTGTTTGTAACATTCCCACACACAACAGTCACTTTCCTCATTTGTATTTTGGGGCTGGTAACGAAGAATCAGCTGCTGGTGTTTAAGGTTACGCCCAGACTTCAGCTCCCACCCAGCAGCGTCTCTTGTGCACAGATTAGAGCGGATTATTTGACAGACAGGCGGTTCATCAGATAAGAGTCTTTGTGTTTCTCTGTTTTGTATCATTATAAGTGGAATATCGTTGGGTTTTGGTTTGTTGTTAATGATGACTTATTGACTTGAAGCTTCGTGTCTCTGTCTAGACGGAGGAAAAAGAAGATGAAGAGGAAGAAGCGCTGGTTGGAGAGGTGAAGGCTTCCCCCAACGCTGACACCACCATCCTGTTCGTCAAAGGAGAAGGTAACAGTCAGTGGAGAGTGAACTGTTGTTGCTCTGTGACAGTGCCGTAGTCAGAACCTCGTCTGATCCACGTCCCTGTTTCTCTCCAGACTTCCCAGCCAACAACATTGTCAAGTTCCTGCTCGGCTTCACCAACAAAGGACCAGAGAACTTCATGGTGGAGTCTCTGGATGCTTCTTTCCGTTACCCACAGGTACAGAAACGATTCCACACCCGCTCAGACTTCTGTCAAATGAAAAGACGTGTTCAGGTTCATGGTTCAGCTCGCAGCAGTCTAACCTGGTTCTCTTGGTCCTGGTCAGGATTACCAGTTCTACATCCAGAACTTCACCGCTCTGCAGCTGGGCATCGTGGTTCCTCCCAGCAGACAGGCCACCTTCGAGTACTCCTTCATCCCCGCTGAGCCGATGGGAGGGCGGCCATTCGGCCTCGTCATCAACCTCAACTACAAGGACAGCAGTGTAAGGAGGAGGGGGAGGGGCTGTGGGCTCTCGCAGGTGTTGTCAAGGAGATGCCTTTGTGTGTCTGTTCTTAGACTTCATAAGAATTAAAAATATATTTTCACCGTGGATCATGAATCCTGCCTCACTGATCAGACGGTTCAGGATTTAAATCTTTTAGATATTTGACTTTATTTAGAAGCTTTGTGTTAAACTCCTGTGGTTCATCACAAACAGGAAGTGTTTGTTAAATAAAGTCTCATAATTAGAGTTGGTTTGTCAGAGACGATGAAGACGAGTTCACCAGTGAGTGAAGAAGAAGTAGAAGTAACCTGCTGACCTCTGACCTCTGTCTCTGCTGTCTGCTTCTTCTTCTTTCTCTTCCGTTTCCCTGTGTTGTTCCCTTTTCTCTTCACCTTTTCTTTCTCCCTATCTTCTCTCCCTGATTTTCCTCCTTCACTTTTCCCACTTCCTGTCTCTTCCTCTCTGTAGGGAAACATTTTCCAGGACGCCGTGTTCAACCAGACGGTCACCATCACTGAGAAAGAGGACGGCTTAGACGGAGAGACGTGAGTGATCTTCTTCTTCTTCTCTGCTCATTTATTTGTGTGGTTTTGTTTGTTCGCTCTTATTTACTCGTCCTCTTCTTCTTCCTCTCAGCATCTTCATGTACGTCTTCCTGTCCGGCCTCGGGCTGCTCGTCGTCGTCGGCCTTCACCAGCTGCTGGAGTCCAGGAAGGTACAGTTGAAGTATTATGTTTATTAATCTGGAAAAGTTTAATTATGTAGCACTGAAACATTCACCTGCTGCAGCCTCGTCCGTCTCTGTCACTGTTGTAAAGTAAACACTGTGTGTGTGTGTGTGTGTGTGTGTGTGTGTGTGTGTGTGTGTGTGTGTTTGTGTGTGCGTGTGCAGAGGAGGCGTCCAGCTCCAAAGGTTGAGATGGGAACTTCGAGCCACAACGACGTCGACCTGAGCTGGATCCCTCAGGAAACCCTGAACCAGATCAGTACGTACAGCTCACGTCCTGCACTCACACACCTCTCACAGCTCGGCCGCCAGCTGTTTTCAACACCTGTATTTCACACAGACCACACCCACACCAGCTGCTACACCTCTGTGGAATATAAGGTCAACACACACTGTACTGACTGCGACAGGTTTGTGAGGAGTCTGAGTCTGAGTCACATTAGATTGTAGCTGCCACTTTTACATTTTATATTTCAACTGAAGAACCAAAGTTCCAACCTGTTTGTGAAGCAGGAACGTTCATGTTTTCTGTGCCATCACTTCACTATAAACTTCCAGGGATCGACACCTGCCTCTTAAACACGACTGTATTCAGGTGTTTGACTCTGACTTGACGTCTCATGATACAAATCTTCCTGTTTCCTTATTTGAATCACATATTATCAAAACCACAAAAACCTCAAAATATCTTTTTAAAAATCTATTTCATCTATTTAACCCAAATATTAAAACGATGCATCTTTTGCACTAAAGTCATTATCTTGTTTGCACATGTTGGCATCTTGTATTTATTGATCTCAGGGAAACCTTTCAGACTTTATTCTATTTAGGAAATGCACTGAACTTTAACACTTAATATTTTGAGCATTTTCCAAAAAAGGTGAAAAAATATTTTACAAAATTACTGAAAATCACCGTAAAACACTGAAACTTTCAGAACGTCCTTCGATGTTTGTTTCCTCACTGAATGAGCTGATGTGTATGTGCAGGTGTCTCCTGTTCTCTTCCTGCTTCACCTGTTTTCTGAATGACCTTTAACCTTCACTGTGCATGAGGATCACTCACCTTCTCCTTTTCTTTTTTCTCTCTCTTCCTTCCTCGCTGTCGCGCTTTCCTGCGTCTTCAGTGCAGAGTCGCAGAGGTGAGGTCTGCTTCCTGTCGTGTGGATGTGTGTGTCGCAAAACGCAGAGCTGTCTGCGCTCTTTACTCTGACTCAAGTCGACATGCAGCGCTGCTGTATGCTCTCAGATGGATGATGATGATGATGCACTGAGTGTGTTATCCTTGATCTCTGTAAATCGGCTCCCTCTCCTGAACGGTGCAGATGCTCTGATCAAAGTGTGGAAGTGGAAAATATTTTTAGACGAAGTACCAACAAAGTTTTGTCCCTTACATTGAAAACACATGAAGAAGAGATGTTTTAATGGCCACCCTGAACAGGAGGAATGATTTAATCAAGTGCATGAGAATATTGTTTTAAAGTTGTGAACTTGTCCCTTAAACTCAGTCTGAGAGAAAACAGTCAGAGCTTCTCTTCCTCCAGTGACTATAAAGTTTAAAACAGTGTAATGTTCATTTGAACAGTTTAATCTGAAGCTTCTGTACAGGTGTGGCCCGCCCACACAGGTGTGGCCCGCCCACACAGGTGATTTCACTTCTCTGTTTGCATGAACAGACTGTGTTTTGTTTTGTTGCATCTGCTTCAGTCTCTGAACCTTCTCTGTCCAGGAAGTGGTTCAGTGAAATGATTTGGTTTTAGACGTTTGGTGACAGACGGTCCAATCACAGAACTAGTTACTAATAGGTAACACATGAGCCAACCAGGAACAGGCTTGTGCTCGTCAGTCACATGATCTTGTTTCCTAGTTGTTTTGTTCTTTGTGGTATTTTGTTCTCTGGATTGAAGAGTGGAAAGTAACTGGAGCTGCTGGAAACCGTCAGAACGACTGTGCTGAGGCTGATGTATGTAACAATAAATCAGCTGTTAGTCATTTTTCTTTCCTACAACACAAAGTATAAACAAACCTTTTTGATGAAGAACATTTTACAGTGTAAAACTCGTCTTCAGCGCCTCAGCGCTCTCTGCTGGGCAAACTAATGTTGACACTTTCTAAATAGCCTCAAACCTCATTTGCTATTTCTGTTCTGCAGTTTCCAGTTAGTGACCAACACACACACACACACACACACACACACACTGTAAATAATTCAGTTGGACTCAGTTCATGCAGGTTGAGTGATGGAGCAGAATATCTATTATTCAATGAAACTTTACAGCTCAACTATCTGCTGGACTTTAAAGAGAATGTCATTAAATTATTAAACATCACTGATTATCAATCAGTGATGAATCTTCACCTGGAATGAAACAGAATCTCTGTAGGAAAGATTTTTTTTTTTTTGTAAATAACAAATTGAACATATATAAATTGTTTTCACTAAACTCAGTCTCATAATTAACATTTAATAAATTTAACCTCATTAAAAGAGAATGACACTAACGGTGTTTGGATCTGACAGATTCTGGTCTTCAGACGTTTGTTTGTCAGATAAAATCCGTCTCTCACTCTGTTTTCTTTCTCTCTCCAGACAAAGCGTCTCCAAGAAGATCTCCTCGCAAAAGGAGCCAGAAACGCTCGGCCGGCTCCGACGAGTGACGGGCGCCCGACACCACGGCGACAAAACTCCACCCACCTGTCTATGTAAAAAGGAGGAGGAGGAGGAGGAGGGCTGCGAGCGCCACGTCAAGCGCACGCTCTCCTCTCCACTGAGAAACTTTGATCAGTGCCAAGCACAGCAACGGCTGGCTCTACTTTCAGCTTAAAAACTGTTCCCCACACACACACACACACACACACACACACACACACACACACACACACACACACCACAGCCCTTTTTGTGTAACGATTTGTTTTGTGTGGCGGGAGGGAGAGAATCATCCGTGAACAGGTGTGTTGGTTTCTGAGGCACGAGGACGTCTGTTAAAACCTCCGTGAGAGAACTGCTGATATTTTCATTGAGACAGTTTGATTGTTGTTTTTGTGTGTTTGTTTTTTATTACCTCTCACTGTGGTGTAGGGCTGAAACCATTAGTGGATTAATTGATCTACAGAAAATGAATCGGCAACAATCTTTGTAATTTTTCAAGAAGAAACTGCCAATCATGACTCACCTCGGCTCTTTTCATTCTTCTTCATGTTGTCGACCATAGCTGATGAATTGACTGTGTCTTTCAGATTAATTGATAATGAGAGAACTGGTTAGTTGCGGCCCTATGGTAGCCATGGTAACGGTAACAGATGCAGTTGGTTTTTGTTTTGCAGGGTTTTTTTCAGTGTAGTTTTGCGTGCGTGGATTCTGTCGGCACATGTTGGATTTTTGTGGAGAGCGTCCGTTCTCGTCCGGCTGCTCCATCATCCTCCTCCTCCTTCTTCTTCTTCTTCTGTCCTTTCTTTGCTCGTTTCATGGCACAGATCCTGAGTGTGTCCGCTGTCACAGATTCACACACTACTGACGCTTGGTGCCGTCCGTCTGTTAAACTGCAGCAGTGTCCAGATCTCCTGCCGACCGCTGGACGAACAACAGTGTTTATTTTTGATTCGTAGAGGAAGTCGGCGACGGTAACGTAGTTTTCAAACCAAGAAAATGTGAATTAAACGCAGAAGGAGATTACAGGAACATAAACACTCAATAGTAATCGTTGTGTGTAGTGATGGCACGATCAGTGTGTGGAGCTGCACGACCTCCTTAACATCCAGGTCTTAAAAACACAAACGCTTTGGCCTCCAGGTGTTGAAGTTGTGTGAAATCTGATGTTGAGCCACTAAAAATGGACATGATCTGTATTTATCTGTTATTCAGATTTACTGATTTCCTCTTGTACATTTGAATTTGTCATATTTAGGAAGGAAAATGGATTGTTGAACCCAGTGACCATCAGTCCTCTGTGATACCGGTTTGAACATCCTTGGGGTTTTACTTTGACTCTGGGAAACTAATGGAAGTTTTTCACTAAACGAATCAGAGTGTAGCATCGTAACATTTGTGATGCGGCCGTGAACGTTTCAGATCTGTGGATGTGGAATAAGTGAAGGGCGGGAGCGTAGCAGCAGAGTGGAGGAGCGAGGTGTCGGATATAAACCTGCCCTTTAACCCCGACACGCTAAATTTAAACTCCCCGTGTCGGCAGCGGAGTGAGTGTGAAGGTTGCAGCAGAAATCCCTGAACCCTCGACGGTGCCTGTTTTCTACTTCTCTGTTTTGTAAATTCGTTTACGTCTTCTCTCCTCAAGCAGCTTGTTTCAAAATTAGAAAAATAATTTACCGAATGGATAATTTGAGTTGTCTTTTTCTTTTTTCCGTTGGATTGTAAAAATGTTGAACTGGCTGAAGCACTGGTGTAAATACTGGCTGATGGATGCTGAGGCGAGGGAAATTACCGAGCTAATTTATTTGAGTAACAGACTGGGCTTAATGGGGGGGTTTGTATACTGTATTTCTTTGTTTTACCACTAGGGGGCAGCACTGACTGACTGCAGGCCTCCTGTGCTGCGCTCGTGTTATTTACATTGAGGCTTTGTGGTTCTGTGAGTAACTGCCCTCAGAGTTTGGACCTGAAATTCTTACACGTCCTTTAATTTCTGCAGAAATATCAAAAATAAAAAAACCAGCAGGAACAGGAAACACGGTCTGACCTTTAATAACCTGCTGAGGCTCGTTGATACCACTCGTTTACCACAGAGAGCTGAGCTGATGAGTTGTTTTTTTTCTAAAATGATGGGGCTGACATTCATAGATACAAGCTTATACTTTTATTTGCTTTTAAATGTGCAGGAAAATAAACTTTGATGATTTGCTGTAGGTCAGCTGCTTCATGAGTGTTTTTATTCTCCATTCAAAATCATTTCTGTGTCATGAACAGTTGATAAATAGATACTTTATTTATCCCCTAGGGGAAATTCAAAATAGAAAGATGTTACTGTAAAAATGTCAAAGTATCTGGTATTTTAAAAACTTTAAAAACCAAGAAAAGTTTAGTAAGATCAGAGTAAAATGAAGATTATTGAAAACAAATGCAGTAAAAGTACAAAATAAAAAGAAGATTGAACTCTTAAAACAATTTATTGATCTTGATATTTTATGTCACAATTATGACATTTTGATTTTCCATTGAACATCACACTTCCTGCTAAAATGAAAAGTTTTCAACCACATAAGCTGCTGATTCCTGCTGCTGCCGTCACATCATTTCATATTCATGTGAAACAAGAAGACAATCACATTAATGTTGCTCACTGAAAATGTTAGTAAGGTAAAACTAAAGCACTTTGTGTGACATTGTTTGAAAAGTGCGATACAAATAAAGTCTGATTGATAATCTTTATATAAAGAAGCAGAAAAGAGCTTTGACTGTTTTTACATCAGACTGTTTGACACAGTGTCTGTTGGTCCGGAGAAGCTGCCGCACTAGAAAGTGACACATTATTCCACCCGTGTTGTTCTCTGGCTGTTCTCCAATCAGATTGACTCCTCCCTCTGCAGGTGTTCTGTGGGAGGGGCTTCAGCACAAAGCCAGTGTAAAATTTCAAGCATGTTCAGAACCAGTTGTTTTTTTTTTCCCAGTGAAGCCGAACGAACAAAACGCTGAACAAACACTTCTGATTCACTTTGTGATGAAGGCAGAGAAACTGACGTCCAGGAAACTGCAGAGGGTCAGAGCTGTGTGTGTGTGTGTGTGTGTGTGTGTGTGTGTGTGTGTGTGTGTGTGTGTGTGTGTGTGTGTGTGTGTGTGTGTGTGTGTGTGTGTGTGTGTGTGTGTGTGTTATGTTTGTTATCCTGCTGAGTGTTAAAAAGCTCCACAGGCAAAAATAAAGAGTTGAAGTACAGATCTAGAGAGAGAGAGAGTGTTTACCTGAGTTACTGTTTCCAAGGAAACAAAGCTACTCTTCCCAGACACCAGTCACAAAGTGCTTCACAATCAAAATACATCAAATAAAAACAAAAGTAAAAACAGCAGATCAAATATAGAAGAGGAAGAACAGACGCGTTTCAGTTGCTTCTCAAAATCTAAAGATCTCTTGGCGGGAGACTGTTCGAGAGCTCAGGAGCCGTTTCCAAGGTGCACGCTGGACAATAACGTGCACAGTGCAGCAGCTCAAACATGAGGAAGTGTTCTTCACTAATCAGATGGAATCTGAATCACAGCGGAAGAAAAGAAAGGGATGTTTATTTGTGCAGCAGCTTTCAGCGGGGGGGGGGGGGTCAGAGTGATCTACAGCAGCAGTGGACCCTGACCCTGAAGGAAAGTAAAAACTAAACTTAAAGTTTTCCGCAGTAAAACGTCCTGAGACTGATCACTGATGTGACATTATCAGATTGTTAAGACTTAATGTAATTACTTTTTAATCACCCAACCTAGTGTCAGTAAATGTGACAGGTTGACTTAATGAGAGAGGAAAGTTCAGATTCACAAATCTGTTTTCTGTTTCTGGACTTTTCCCCAGTTTTTGCTGTTCTGGTGAAACATCAGATCATTTTACGTCTTTGGGCCTGAAACACTGAAATTAGTGAAGTTGTGTGAGAAGCTGCAGCTGAAACTACACACTGATTTCTAGTATTTTATTACCTCAACAAGTAACTAGAAACTATCGCAATGAAATACGTGCAGAGGATCAGAAAGTGCAAGATTTCCCATGAAAACGTCGTGGAATAGAAATAATACTCAAAATACTTGAGCTGATGCAAGTACGAGGCTGTCCAGATTTCGGAGGCCTGATTTGTGTCAGTATCAGTGAAATCAGATGAGGTTCAACTGATCATGGAACTTTAGTCTCTATTAAAAGCCTCACAGGTGAATCTGGGGCGTGTCAGATTGTAGATTTGGCGTTTTGTCCAAAATGTGATCAGTAAACAAACAACTGCTGCTTCCTGTTTCTACCTGAAAAGCGTCATTAAAGCAGATGAACAGGAGTGAAATCTGTCATCAGGTGAACAATCCAGACGTAATATCTGACTTTAAATTCCTCACATTGACTCTGTATCTGTTGACGCGCTGCAGTTGGTTGATATGTTGAAACGTTTAGATAAATGACGACGCCCTGCGAGGAGGAAATAAATGTCCTGCCTTTATTTTTAAGACGCCAGATGCAAAAGTTCAACGTTCACCAGTGAAAACCAAAGTCCGTGAAGCTGCACAGACGCTTAGATCCGCAGCGTGTTGGACCAGGATTTGTCTCGATGCAGGTCTCGACTCAAAGTGTCGGATCATCAGCTGCAAAGAAAAAGGTTTTTGACAAACCTGATGATTTACTGATCCACAGCTGGAGGCCGAGAGACGCAGGTAATGACCTTTACTCAGTCGTAGGAAACGGACTTTTAAAAGCTTTGTAAGACAAACGTCTGAAATACGAATAAATCAACTGTATGAATCTGAAAATAATAAGTGAAGAGCAGAAAATGCATCGCACACCTGCGTCCATGGTGCATTCAAGTGCTTTACTTTAGTCCAACTGTACTTTGTTCTGTAGAAACAGTCACGTTAAACATTCAACTACCAAACATTAGATTAAATAGTTCAAACCGATTCAACTGCAACAGTAAATTATTGTTTACATATTCATGAGACTTTCTTTTTGTTGATGTGTTTTTCATTCGATCTGAAAACGTCCTCGTGCCCTGAACCACCGTCCTGTTTATATCCCTCATCACGAGGTGACAGAGTCCACAGCTGCATGACTTCCCAGGATCCTCCCGCTCTGTTGTCACTGCAGCACAAGGGAAAGTTGCTTCAGTTAAAGTTCTGCAGAACTGGATTTTAAAAAATACTGAAGTATTCGGACGTACACGCGTTGTTGTATTGTTCCTACAGAACCTGATGACTCCGGATCAACCTGTAGAATATGATCCAAAGACTGAAGACATGGACATTAACACTCTGTTTTGTGTTGGTCGTGCTAAACACAGTAAACATTAAAACTAAATTAAAACCTTCAAACACAGACCTCAGATCAGATCAGTCTCTGGTGAAGAGTCTTCTGCCTCATCTTTATCTAACGTCTCCACCGTTAGGACACTGACAGTGTGATGAACGTCGTTACTGTCTTAGTAACTAAGTGGCTCTGGTTCAGGTGTGTTGTCGGTGTGAGGCTGGACATGAGGCTGGACATGAGGCTGGACATGAGGCTGTGTGACGGAGACGCCGCCGTGGAGCAGACGGCCGAGTCTGCAGCGTCCAGCTGCCGCAGAGACGCCGAGCGGCTCGACGCACCGGACTGCAGCTGTCATCAGCCGCCTGCAGAGTGAGACTTCACCCAACACTCACCAGCAACCAGAACGATGCTGCATTGTGTTTTACTCCTGACAACATGTGTCACTACAATTCACCTTCAGATTCATCTTTTAATCCGAAATATATATATATATGTGTCTCAGTGACGACAGGTGGTTGCTCCTGACGACCATCTACCTGCTGATGAAACACAATCAAAACCGCGAGCTGATCGATTTCAGCTTCAACTTGGAGCCTTCAGTCACAAAGTAAGATCACTTCACTTCTATCAACATTGAATTACCTGATTATTCCTGTGTGACATTATAACGTGTGTTGCCTTGTTCGGTGCAGACGTCAAACATGCTGAGCTTCACATTTCCTTTCAGACTGGTGTGTGTGAGGACGAGCAGCAAAGGATACGTCCCCACCTTCTAGACCCCGACACTAAGTTCACTGTTCATATCACAGCGGGTCGTGCTGTTCTTCAATCACACACACATGACATGAAATATGATCCTCAGGTTGTGAGGGTTAGGGAGACAGGCTAAGGGGAGTAGGTGGGGGAGGACAGAGAGGAGGGCTATTGTTGGAGGGGTTAACCCTAACCCTAACCCTAACCCTCTCTGATTTATTCATAATGAAAATAGAAACATCAGAAAAAGCTTAGGGTTAAGTTTGAGTGTGTTTGAGTGTCACATTTAATTTTCCGTTTTATTCCTGTTTAATTTCTGAAAGTCAAACAACTCGAATCACCAGCAACAATTATCACATTATATTTAGACATTAATGTTCCCGGAAAGGTCGTCATATGACAACAATGTCAGATGGCAAAGGAAAATCCTCCTATACGTTAAACATAAACACATGTGAGGTAGATGACCCACAGAAGAAAGAACAATGTTTCCTATTTCTTCTGTTGTTGTCAAGCTGTTTATTTTCTATAATCATGGGTGTACATATAGGTTGTTATTTACCTGTTTGTACATATTGTTTGGGTTTATGAGTCCAGCACTAATCTGACCACTCTGAGACATTCAGTCTTTGTTTTTTAGGAACAATGGAGAATATTTAAGAATCAATCTTAAAGGTTTAATTTGAGACAAGGACACGAGGAGCATTCACTCGTCATGGAAACATCCTGGAAAATGACATTAAATACCAAAATGTTCCTGAGAACAAAAGTCCTTAAAAAGCTTTATAATGAACAATCAGGTTGCTGCATTCAACTGTTTTCTGACTGTTTTCCGACTGTATGAATGTCTGGTTGGCGTTGGTCCCAGTGGGACCGGATCTGTAACCGTGCATCACAACATTGTTCCGTTGTAATGACTCTGTTTAAGTGTGTTTGTCTTTTTTTGGCAAAGCAAAAATAAAGTTTTTGAAATCTGATTTGAATCAAAATCTCCCTCTGAACTTTGGTGAGGTTTTAAATTATTTAAAATGGTTGAAATCTTAATAATAAAGTATCATAACACAGAAATGTTTAATTAAAAAATTATAAGCATCTTAAAAATAGAAGTTTCAATTTAGAAAAAATTATAACGATCTTAAAAATAGAACCCCCCCATCATTAGCAATGTTTTGGAAATGG